ATGTACACACAAACACGCACACACAAAAACACACTAATTTATGTACACACAAACACACGTGCACACAAACACATTACTGTATGTGCACACATCATACACTCAAATGCACACTTGTGAGTCTACCTATGTACAAACACACACACATACATGAGCCGACTGTATGCACATACTCACACACCCACACACACATATGTACAAACACATAAAAACTCAAACACATCCCCACACACAGGCCTAGTGTAGTTCTGAACAAACACACACAGAGTGTGTAAACAGTCCTGTTTACTCCAGTGATGGAGGGTGAAAGAATAAAGAGGCTGCCTCCTTCATTTATTCACATTTTGACCTCTAAGTGACTGAAAGTGAGGAAAAAACAAACAATTTCAGAGTAAATTCAATCTGTGACTTTTAGTTGTGTTGATAAACATGTGCATAAAAATCAGATGTAAATTAAAATATTTGAAATGATAAAAAATAACCTGTGACTTTCATGTTTTTATTCCTATTTTATACATTCATCAGTAAAAGTGATTTTTTTTCTATCGTTTCTTTTTGAAGATGATCTTTTCTCTTGTTTCTTCCTTCCACTTCCTGTTTGTTTCATTTGTTTTAGTTCTGTGTCCTGCCTTCCTGTTAACAACTGTTCTCATTTTACGTCTTTTTTTTTACATTTTAGATAAGATCAAATAAAATAATTTAATTTATTTGTCTCCCGATGGAGAAATTTGTCTAAGTAGACGGGACAAAGCTGCCGTACCGCAAAGACAAAAACAATGCTTCAAACGGGGTCGAGAACAATAAACACATTAAATATCTCAGATAATTAAGTAAGCATACTTCAAATTTGTGCAAAAGGCACACTGGTACACAGCATTATGTGCTAAAAGAAAAACAAAAACATTATTTTATGATGTATTTGTTACATTTTTTCCCTCTAACCTTTCTCTGACCTCTGCTTCTGAAWGAACCTTTTAATTTGAAACACTTTRACTTTTGTGCGCTTGAATGAAATTTTTTAAAGCATGTTACGATTTACAAAGTTTTTTACCATAAATAAAACAAACAACCGTTTGTGAGAGAAATTAATATTTCATTTTTAAGGTATTTTGTTGGTTTTTTACCTTAAGTAAAATCATGGTTGTACTTGATGGTAAATATCAGCATCAAGTGTTTCATGAAGTCTAGGAGGGAAAAACTGTTTACCAAACATACAGAGCATCGAACGTCATGCACATGCAGTTATTTATGTATTTTATCATCACTTATTCATGACTCTATTCCTGTTCAATGTGCTGGTAAACCCTGCTTTCTCTTTTTCATATTTACACTTCAAGACATCCTGTTCTCATATTATGCACCACTCTGCAGGTTCTCCTGGTGTCGTGTGTTATTATTATTTTTCCTCGTCAAATAATACTTTTTTTCTGTCCATAATCCAGCTCAGTCTGCTAAATATYGAATAAACAGCGGCTTCTAGAAACTGATGTTGGCAGATTGTAATTTATGTCATTTTAACRAACATTTTCTCGCTCGCAGACTTCTGTAACATCGGCAGCAGTTTAACCTCCCTTCCCCCTAATAGAGCCGTCCTAAATTTATTTATTTTAAACATCTGCTGCCTGCCTTGTTTTTTTTTCCCACGCCGAAAGATGTTCGTTCCTCCCACAGCAGTGGAGGAAGTGTGCAGCTTTCAGTTATTAGTCAACGTGAGCAGGCGAAGAGAGAGAAACCCGGTCTGTCACAAACTGGCCTCCTGTTCAGCTCATAACACACCGCCCCTGGGAAAAAGACATTTTCCAGGCTGTCCCAGAGCAAACATTGTTTCTTTTTTTCCCCCCCCATCCAACCAAAGACCAGGTCTGCAGAACAAAAGTAATGACGGTTCTGTCCTCACTGCTCGGTGCGCGGCTTCCATATCCTGTGCATCGTTTTTACTCCTGTGAGGATTTGTGCCACCTTRAGCCTCAAACAAATGTTTTGCACAGACACACACAAAAATGGTATTTTGAAACAAATCTCGGTGGCACGAAGAGTTCAAGAGCAGAGAACTCGTAAAAAGATGCAATCTCTCTGTTATTGCAGTGATTGTCTGACAACTTTCTGTGTCTCTGGAGGATCTGGGGCAACACAACCAGCCCATAGATGTGGCAGAAAAACAAAAGGTAGTTTATGTGCTCAGGACCTGCTGTGGCATTAACTGTCAAATGGTCAACAGGAAGTAAAAAAAAAACGGGTTGTTGAAGGGGTCTAACTGCAAAAATACACAAGATATTAAAGACATTGCATTCCTTGAAAGACTGTACTAAGAGTATCTTATGCTGATAAAAAGGGCAGGCCYGTRGCATAGGCGGTGTAGGCGAATGCAAAGGGCACTGTACATCTAGGGGGCATCACAAATAGAAGAAAAAAAACAATTTTATAACTTTATCAAAGTATAGTTGATATCTGTAGAACACTTACGTTAATGAAGATAAATTGCTCTGAGTGTTTCTCAGCGGTTTTGTTTCTACGAGGTGTTATAAAGTGCCAAAAAAAATTTTGTTAACATGAGCAGGTGTTTTTCAGTGTTTTCAGCTGATAGAATTTTGTTTTAATTGATTTATATTGAACATTTTAATTGGACAACCTSGTTTCTAAAGATAAAACATACCGAAGACAAAACTAATAAATTTGCTATGTGAATGTATTTGAAATKTTCATGAGGGGCGYCACCTGAAATCTTTCCAAACRTGSCAATTTGTCTAGGGCCGGCCCTGCTGATAAAAGACAAAGTTATAGCTGTTTGGATCAAGTTTGTAATAGCCTTTGATTCGATAGGTTAAGTGTTGTAAGGTCACAGTGCAGTTAGATCTAAATGCAGGTAGGCAAGAGGAGTTTAAATATTCAGAAAGTTTATTAAACAAAAGCTGACGTGGCAGCAAAAAACAAAGTAACTAAAACAAATGGGAGCTTGAGRGAGACGAGCGGGCAAACCATACGATGGTTGTGTGTCAATTCATGGGTTACAGCTGATGTAGACGGCAGCAGATGCTAGCCACTCTTGATTTCGCTTCCTAGTCTGTGTCAACCTGTATTTGAACAGTAAATTCAGAGATTTTTAATAAGAAAAATATTAAAAAGTGTTTAGTTTAATTGAAAATGTGCTTAAAG